GGGGGGGGGGGGGGGGGGGGGGGGGCTTTTTCGCATGCGCAAAGAAACGCAGCCCCCAGCTGTGTGTGATGTAGAAGTGTGTGTGTGGGTGTGTGTCCAAAGATTCAGCACCACGGACAGCAACCAGTGGGACTTCAGAACCACATGGAGGCTGGAAAACGTGTAAAAGAAACCAAGTTTGCACGTGATGTATAATGTCAAATAAATCAAAAATACTTTGCAAACCTCGTGAGCTCAGCTTTTATTCTCAACGAAACATAATCAACATATCAAATGTTTAAAGTACTGTAAAACATTTTAGGAAAAGAGGGCTCACCAAAGTTCATGCTCAATAATCCAAGTAAAAATCCAACAATGTTCAGTCAGGTCATCTGGATGGTTTCTTGTTTTTTCTTTTTCTTTTTTTTTTTTTTTTTGCTGAAACGTTTTGTCCTTCATCCAAAGGACTTCTTCAAACTGGATTTTTCCACTATGAGAGTGTGCTGCATGTGGGACTCAGTTTGTTGGTGGCTCTTCAGCTTGAATAAGTCCTTTGGATGAATGATGAACTGTCTCAGCAAATAAAAAAGCAACCATCCAGATGACCTGACTGAACATTGTTGGATTTTTACCTGGATTATTGAGCATGAACTTTGGTGTTTTGAACCACTTTAGCATGATTGTCTCAGAGGAGATGACAGGGGAGAAGGAGGGGCCCGGAGGCCCTTTTAGCACCAGCAAACTGTTTTTCCCCACTATGGGAATGTGCTGCTTGTGGGACTCAGTTTGTATGGCGGCTCCTCAGATTGACGAAGTCCTTTGGATGAAGGATTAAATGTCACAGCAAAATAAAGAAACAGTCGAGATGACCTGACTGAACATTAAAGGGGGGTCATTTTGAACTTGATGGCAGCAACACATCTCTAAACATCTGCAGGGCCATGTTTCCTGCTGTGAAGCATCCCATCTTCTTTGAACAACAGTCTGCAAACAACCAGGGGAGCAGCTGCTGGAGGATTTATTTAAAAAATGTTGTCCCATTCCTAAAGTGGGATTTAACCGTTCAACAGTCCTGGACATTCTTTAAATGATTTTTATTTATTATTGTGTTTTGTTTCATGGCAGCCAATTTTTCCATTTAGTGAGGGGTCTGAAATCCCATACCCAATAAGTAAGCTGCCCACACCATAGGGCCTAATGAACCCCTATACCATCAGAGAGGCACACTTTTAATTTGTACATTGATTTAGATAGTCTCTCCCCTTTAGATGTGGGATTTGTAGTTACAGAACAAATCTAATTTTGATTTGTTTGATCAAAAAACAGTTCCCACTTTATCTCAGTTCATTAAAATGAGCTTTAGCCCAGAAAAAAAAGAAGAAACAGAGTTTCTGGAGAGTAACAAAGTCCATGCTCAATAATCCAGGTATACAATCCAACATTTTTCAGTCAGGTCACCTGGACAGATTTTTTTTTTTTTTTTGTGTGTGTTGAAGCGTTTCACCTTCCATCTGGAAGGCTTCATCAGTCAAGGAAACGCACAACACAAAACTGATTCTTCCCCCAACAGCTTACTCCAAAGTGGAACAAACCAGTTATGGTGGTGCTAAAATGGTTTCTTTGGTACGCCCCCTCCTCCAGTGCCGGCCCTCTTCCTCATTGACAGTTATGTCAAACTGCTTCAAAACTAACAAAGTCCATGCTCAATAATCCAGATATACAATCCAACATTTTTCAGTCAGTTCATCTGGACAGTTTCTTTTTGTTTTTGTTTTTTTTGGTGCTGAAACGTTTCACCTTCCATCCAGAAGGCTTCATCATTCAAGGAAACGCACAAAACAAGCACACAAAAAAAGAAACTGTCCAGATGACTTGACTGAAAAATGTTGGATTTCTGGAGAGTGTTCATATAGATCTTCAGCTTTGCATGATAGAGCTTTAACCAGTATTTGTGGATGACACAGTGAACTGACAATGATCAGTGTGCGTGTTCCCGAGTCCAGAACAGAATTTATTTTTAATGCAGTACCGTCTGGAGCTCCGAAGCTCACGACCATCCAATGACGTTCAGCCTTGTCCTTTGCTCTCAGAGATTTCAGACTCTTGAAATCAAATATTCAATATCTTATCAATTTTACATTGAGGAATAATATTCTGAAATTCTTCCACCATTATTTGACAGTTTTTCACCGACTGGTGAACCTCTGCCCGTCTTTACTTGTGAGAGATTCAGCCTTTAAAATGTAGTTTTAATACTCTGTTTTCTAACTGATCTGTTGTCAAATAACTTCATTATTCAAAATATTCTGGTATGTAACAGTAACAGTTGATATGCTAACTATGTTCTATAATGAGTAAAAGTATTTGTTAATAAAAGGAAGTATAAGGCCCATTCAAAACTGGCAATATAAATAGCATGCACAAGAAAAACAATTTAACAAAAAGCTAATGAAATTGTTTAAAAAGAAATATTAGACAACAAACAGTCCTGGGTGAAAGAGTGTGTGTATGCTCACTAATAATATATGATTTAACAACTTGTTTTCTGTATGACTCAGTCTCCTGTGTGCTTGTGAAGGAATGTTGTCCCCTTTCTTTGGCTCACTGAGGTTTGTAGACTTAGGATTAGTTTGTCTCATCTGTTCAAAGGACTTTGTTCCAAAAGTCTTGTGCTTCCTTTAGATACAACTTTACAAACCATACTTCGTGGTGCCATGTTCTTAGGATTTCTCCTGTAACCCTTCCCAACAAGCCACAATTGTTGTGTCTTTTTCTAATTGTTTATTATGACTTCTTCACATTTAACCTGTGGACTGAGGCCTGTCTGAGGTGGAGCATTGCACAGTCTGACCTTAGGGTGAATTTTAAATACCCACTCCTGTGAAGGCTAGCAACTATCTTAAATGTTTTCCACTTGTGACCATCTTTTCTCTCTGTAAAGTGATGGACTTGATGTTTGTTTAATAAATGCACGGTCAGTCCAGACCAGCAAATGGACAAATGTTTTGCTTGTTCAGAGTTGGTAACACTTACTGATTATTAATTCAGTGCATTTGATTAGAAGCACATGGTCACTACTTTCACTCTTAAATCCTATGGAAGCAAAAAGGACAGATTACATTTTCATGAACAACTTTTTCTTATTATTTTGGCTTTGTTTTTGTTTAATAAATAATGACTCAAAATAATGTGTGTGTTTTTGCCCACCTGAAGTTCCGTTTGAATTATTGTGCAAACTGACAAAGATCAGGTCATTTTTATGAAGTCTAATAAAACCCTAGGATTAAAGGAGAAAGTAGTATTTGTTTGGGGGTTTTTTACTTGTGATTTTATAGTTTTGAAACTAAAATATTTTAAGATCTAAACCTGTGTTTGTGCAGGTGTAATTACTTCTGCAAGCTAAAGAACAGGCACAGTATGTACAGTGGCTGAAGTGATGGAGAAAGCTTCACTCGGTGCTTCTTTACTGTAGAGGGTGCTGGTTGCCATGGTGACGGGGCATGCATCAGAGCCACTGACTTGGTCCATCAGTTAGGCTGAAGCTAATACGAGTGGAATGATCAGGAACTCTCACCTGGTGAATTATACATACATACATACATACATACATACATACATACATACATACATACATACATACATACATACATACATACATACATACATACATATATACATACGAACATACATACATACATACA